GAATTGCCTTGTAGGTGTTGTCTCACTATGGAGAATCCCTTTTCCTTCTGTGTAGGAGCAGACAGATGTATTTCTGGGTTAACAAAAAAACGTTTGAAATTTAGGCACAGTCGCAAAAAAAATTGTCTGTAAAGAAATGACATCTCCTGAGCCAAGGACCTTTTTGCTGCCAAATGCCTGCTATGCTGAAAATCTTTGAAGTTTTCAGAGAGATCCACTCGGATATCTTTCAATACGAATGATTTTATGCTGCAGGGATATTGTAAAGGAGTACATGGTGTGGAGAAGTAATTACACGAGTCTTAAAATGAGAGGCTGACTATCTCAAGGTTAAAGAGTCCACAGTGGTCATCTAACTTTATTCAGATTTATATTCTTGCGAAATTCATCTGACTTTAATTATTTTGTATATTACCCCTAAAAAGGGAATATAGCGTCCTTCCATTTCTCCCTCATCCATCAATCTAAGCTAATTTAATTGAATCTAGTCTAAACTAAAAAAATGAAGATAGACAGACCTTCAGAGCCAAACACAATTAATTCATCCACAACTGAAAGGAAATCTTTTTTTTTTTTCCTTTTATTTTTTTTTTCAGTTGGAATTTCCCTGTTGAGTTGAACAAGGCCTAAATTTTAGATATAAATTTAGCACAAGAAGAATATCATTTATCATCAATCCAACGTATATCACAAATACCTGAGTGTAAATAGAAAGCATGGTGCTACTTTTTCTGAGTCAAATGAGGAGAAATCAAAATATTCCAAGATGTAATTCTAGTGCCTACCCCATAGTCATTCATTGCTACATTAGAAATCCTAAAAGAAAACTCTCAAAATATAATTTAGATTCACATTTTTTATTCTGCTACTTGGTATTATTACTGAAAATCTGTCCCCTGGTAGGGAAACAGCCTTTCCTGTGTGTTATTCCTTTGAAGGGCGCACCCAATGTCGGCAGAGCTGGATGCTCAAAGCGCCGTAACAGAGCTGCACAGTGAGAATTTGCAGGGCCAAGGGACTGTCTACCATGGGAAGAGGCAGTTTAATAATCCTGCACAGAAGCTCTTATTTCCAGCTCTGAAAACCATTTTCAGGTTGTCTTGTATCATTTTGGAGAAGGTTTAAGCTCAATGGTAGTACACCATACACGTCCCAGGGCACCATGATGTTTTGCTGGCTCGTTTCTGTAGGTGTAATTATACTGGTGTAGCTCATAAACCTGAGCTGGAAAGTCAATCAAGTAGTTCTCAGCTGAGATGGGCTGCAGAAAGGCAGCCCTGAAAGTGGAAGAGAATACAAGGTTAACTCACTGGGGCTTGAGCAGGTAGAAATCCTCAGAATTCGTAGCACGGTGGACAAGAATTTCTGGAAGATTTATCTCTTGACCAGAATCATAACTTGGGACAGCTTTTCTTCTGATCCGGGTACCCTATTGCCCTAAAATAAGTGGGATTAGGGTTTAGTGTGTTCACAACAACTTGCCTCCTGGTTCAACCAGAGAGGAGTGAAGGTGCAAGAGAGGCACTGGGCAGGTGGGTGCAGGTGAGATTTTGTTACTTATTTTCCAGCCGTTGGTAGAAGGAGATCTTGTTTTAGGGCTAAAGTAATATAATGATGGGATGCTACATGAGGGCAGTTTATTGGGCTCCTCCTGGTATCTCTGCACTCTTCAGTCTCTGGCAGGTCTCTCTGTCTTGTGCTCGGGTGAAGATGCTGTAGGAGGGGAGCAGAAAGGCACCCTGCCCTGCTGCACAGGTAAGTGCATGGGCTGGACCCCAAACCCGAGTCAGAATTGCTTCTAGAAGGGTAAAATTCTTGAATTTGCAAAAGCTGTCCCAGATTTATATGAATGGACTAGGGTTTGCAGTCCCCTTCTGTGCATTTAATAGGAAATCTCCTTGTGGAAGGTGAGGGATGGGAGAAATCCCCAAAGCTTTTGCTTTCCAAGGAAAAGCCCCTGAACTCTGCCTATGTCGTGAACCTTGTGAACTCCAAAAGCTCTTAGGAGAGTTTCCTGAACCCTCGAACTCCAGCAGGCTTTGCCGTGCCCAGTGGAGAGCCCTCGGTTTCTTGTCATCCCCTTTTTGTTACTTTTGCTCTCTTTTATTAGCAGAGAAGCCCAGCTGTACAATCTCTCCCATCTCAGCGTAATTGCATTAGACACTTGGAGGCCGTCGGATTGCCATTCAAGCTGGTATATAATGAATTTACTTGACATGCAGAGGTCCTTATGTCACAAAAGGTTTTCTCATTATATCTGAGCTTTTACTTGTTTATCGAGAGTCTCCAAACCCTCACCCTCTCCCTGCTCATTGAGTGGGAGAAGCGCTGCAGGAAGCTGCCTTTCAGTGCAATATTCATCAGAAAAGGCACAACTGGCTGTAACTTCCACCCGGTTTTATTTGCAGCTTGCTGCAATCTGTGCCTTGCATGGGGTAATGATGGGGGTGAGAAATTGCTGACATTGTTTCCCCTGCCTCCACCAACACCAGTAAAGCACAAGCTGGTGTACCCCAACAATTTCAATATTAATTGAGCTGGAGCTGCCTGGGGGTGCCGGGGTTTCTTCTCCCCTGAAGCAAACTAGGCGAGGGGGATGAAGCCAAAATAATGGAGGTGTTCACCCCAGAGGGCTCAGCCCGTCTCCCTGCCCTAAATCCTATGTGGGGTCATGTGGGGCTGCTTGGGTTTAAAGCAACAGGGGCAGGGCAATGTGTTGCTGTAAATGTCTATTGTGAAGAGTCTGCATTGCTGTGACAGCGTGGGCAGGGGTGTTATTTGTAACTGGGAATGTAATATTCTCCATAACATTGCGATGGGATGCCTGTGGTTCTTTTTTTCCTTTCCTCCCCATCAGGATTACACAGTATTGCACCAAGCAGGTAAAATGCTGTCCCAGATGCGTGGCCTGGGCTGTTCCCTCTTGCTGGGGGGACAGGGTCTGGATGGACCCAGTGGCATAGGTGGGCACATCTGTTGGAGCTGTCCTGCTCTGTCCTTGCTGTCCACGACTGCTTCAGCACTCAGTGTGGGCTGCAAACCGCTCCCACATGCAACCTCCCCAAGCCTTCATCCTGCAGCGAGGTGGGAGCAAGCATTGGGTACTGTGGCAAAGGGCAACATTGTGTAAAACCCCACCGGGGAGCCGCAGAAAGGATGGGATTCCTTGTCCTGTTACCCTTGAGAAAATGCCTCCACTTGAGCCGATCTCCCTGAGGCTCCGCGCTGAAGGCCCCCTGTGTGTTTTCCCAGATCCATTTTTGCAGTATGGCTTTTTGCAGCTGTAACGGGTGTAATGCCAGCCTCACAGGCTTGGCGGGGGCAGCCCAGTCCCTCCTGATTAGCCAGTATCTGGGGCCGGGCCAGGGGTCACTGCTGGCACCTCGCAATAATTCCTGCTCATTGTCTGGGGCTCGCCGGCAGCGAGGTGATATTGTTGCTGTTCCTCGACGCTGGGGCTCCGGCCGGCTCCTCTCTCTGGCAAGGGCTGGGGTGGGAGCGATGTCTCACATGAATGAGATAAGAGAAGACAAAGCAAATGGGGAAGAAAGGAAGCTTGTAGCTTTTCAAGTTCAATGAGGCTTACCAGGCTTTCGGGGGCCTCTTCAAATCAGAGGCCGAGTTAAAAGAACATGCAGAATTCAAAGCCTGTCCTTTTCCAGGCCCTCTGTCGGCTTTGAAAATCCTCCCAATTCATGTTTACTCTTGTCCCCTCCTCCTCCCCCTCTGCCAGGACGTCCCCGGGCAGGCACACACGCAGCCCTCCTGGCTCTGCACAAGCTGCCCCCGGAACCAGCCCGCGGCTCCCAGCCACCGGAGCAGGTGTGGTGCTGTCTCCGTGCCCCCAGATCCTGCATGCGAGATGTATGCAAATGGCAGCGAGCGGTGGGCGACGTCAGGAAGGGACACAAAAGGTCCCCTTAATCCTTCTTTGCCCAGAGCTGTCTCACCCCAGCGAGGCGTAGCAGCAGCATGGGGTATAAACAGCTCCTCTTGCACTGCAGCAAACGTGCAAGTGTTTCGTGGGCTGGCAGACTCGTACTTCGGGAAGTTGTGGCGATGGGGAGCACAAAGGCTGGGTCCTTTCGGTCCAGGAATTACAGCAGGAGGCACCACTTTCCGGGAGGAATCAAGGGCTGCCAATGGGGAGTGCTAGAAGGAAGGGAAAGGATGCAGCTACTTCTTATGCCACTTTGCAAAATGCATCTTGCCTTTAATTGCAAAGGGAGCTTAATGCATCTGAGGTGCTTTCAAACCTAAGGAGCAGCATTATGTGCTGCAAAACTGGCTTAGATGGGACCCAGGTCTGGCTGTTCAAAGGGTGCAACAAGCTGCATGGCCATGGGGACTTGGAGGGCTGGCCCCACTCCCAGCTCCCTCTCCTCTCCTGGCCAAGCAGAAGGTTTGCAGTTAATGAGAACAGTCCCCAGACCAGGGGGGTTGAAACCAGATGATCTTTAAGGTCCTTTTCAACCCAGGCCATTCTATCATTCTATGATTCTATGACTTTGCATGCCAAGGGCAGTCAGGGTATGAACTTCAGCTGTTCGTACCTGTCTGGCTCCATACTGCTCCTGCTCCTGGGCATGGATCTATATTTTCAGAGGTTGGACTCGATGATCTTGAGGTCTCTTCCAACCTAGACAATTCTGTGATTCTGTGATATTTACCCCTCCTCTCCTCAACCAGCTTTTTAAAAGGGGAAGGAAGAAATGTCTAAACCCACACCTGACAGCCTGCCTGCTGTCCCCCAGCTAGGTGTGAGATGTGCTGTGAAATGCTCTGGTGGGTTTTCCATCCTCTGCTGGGGCAGTGGGGTTGTCCCGTATTGACACAGACCTCAGTGCTGGACGAGCAAAGGGAGCTCCAAGCTCCAGAGCCCAGCTGATTAACACCGACTTGAGAAGGAAATTAGGGCAGCAGCAGCTCGGCTCGGACCCCTAATAGCAAAGAGTTGCCACTTCTTTAAAGAGTTGCCGCTTGTTTTATTTTTCAAACAGGTCTGTAAAGATGTCTGTCAAGCGCTGCGCCTCCAAAGACCTTGCTGAATGACAGGAAAATTTGCATGCCAACCAACGGCACTTTCTAGGACGTCGTCAATGCAGTCAACCACTGCAGAGTTTCTCTCCCTTCCCAGCCATTCAAAGGAGCTGAGCGGCTTGCCGAAGGCGTGGGGTGGGGGCTGAGCGATGTGACAATCACGGCATGTCCCCAGAGCGGAGGCAGCCCCGTGCTTGAATGCAGCAGCTCTCCGTCCCCTCTGCCGCCTGCGTTGTGCAGCTCCATTGAGCGCGGGGAGGCTTCTGCGGCTCGGTGAGACAGAGGTGGATTGTGCCTCGTGGGCTCAGCTGTCACTGCCCGGCCGGGAGGTGACAGATCCGGAGCAGCTCTGCCGCTGACATGAGCTGCAGAAGTGTCACTGACCTTGTGTGGCCCTTTGTCCCTATTGTCTCAGCCCCTCTCAAAAGAAACCCTTGGTCTTGTTCTGCTCCTCCGGGCTGGGAAAGCGATTATTATTATGTCCTGGCCTTTGGCTGATGAAAATATGTGCAGCTTTTGTCGCCCGTTTCTCCACCCCGAGTGCATTTTCCCCCCATTTGCTATTCACACTTTGTCTGAATCTGGCGTTCATTGAGGTGGTGGAGGCTGGGGGGTGCAGGGGGAGAGCAGGTACACCCACTGCCCTGTCCCCCCTGGACCAGTGCCCCCCAGTCTGGCCCACAGCACGCGCTGCCCCCCCTGTGCCTGGGGGCACACGTGGCAGCTCCTGGCCCCAGCCTGGCCAGCAGGAACAGGATTGGGGTTTTTGAGGGAGACAAAGGCCAGAAAGAGACAAGAAGGCTCCCCAAACCTGTATCCCCGGGATGCTGCATCCCTGCCTTGGGATAGGAAGGGGTTTGTGTGTGTGCGTGTACGCATTTGTGTGCACATGCAGACATTGGATCTAGGAGATCACCACCGGATTTGATCTGCCTCTGCTCTTTTGCCTCCCACCATACACATTTTTTTTGCCCCACTACATACTGATCCCCAATGACAGTTTAAAGTCTCACCCTTCTGCTTTCACAGTGCTTCGTGCCTGCCCTGTGCTGCCTTTGCAATGGTCCCTCTCACTGCCCAGGGCACGGAGCAGTGGCAAACGGGTCCCGAGGGTTTAGATCTGGGACTGGCAAGGCATTTCTGGGGTCAGCAGTGTGCAGTACTGTGCAGGGCAGAAGTCACTGCCTGTCTACTGCAAAATTCAGTAGCACTTAGCAGGAGCACCACCAGGTCTGTCCCAGCTGCGTGACTTGTTTGGGTCACGCCGGAATGGATAGCAATGCACAGGAGCACAGCTGAAAACCCTCCCCGGTGCAGGCAGCGTTTCCAGGCTGAGATAGACCAGAGGCATCGTTCCGAGGTGACTGCTGCTGGGTTTATGTCTTTGTGTGTCCCATAACCCTGGAAAACTTGGGGGGGCTCCTGTTCTCCCAGATTCACCTGGGCCATGGAGCGGAGATGTTCTGATGAAGAGGGAGGATTTAGCTTCTACTTATTCTTTTATTTTTTATTTTCTTGCTCAGTTGTATAGGGTCATCTTTTAATCGTCATTTCAGTTATAAGGGACAGCATGAGGGAGGCATAGAGCTGGGTTAACACATTTGAAAAATGAGGGGTATGCTGCCGTGTAAGCTGGGATGTGATACATTCAGCCGGAACAGAGTAAATTGGGCTGTGGATGGATTGCTGTTTAATTAGCTGTTTGAGCTGCAGTTCAGCCAGCTCTGCCCACTTAACGTTCTTGTTGAACAAAGTGTTAGTGCAGACTTCAAGGGCCACAAACCTCCCTGGGAAGGCAGTTTTCCTAAGGGGACTGGTACACAAAATGGCCTCAATTGCAGGTGCAGCGCGTTGGATGGAGTTAGTGGGAGCAGATCATCAACCAGATGAGGAAGGGCCCTCGTTAAGGAGATGGGGTCTGGGCTGTGGACCTCAATGGGAGGAAGAGTGGCGATGGGGGAATCACAGGTCCCACAGCGTGGGAGGACGGGCACGCAGCAGAATCCATCCCCAGCGCTGCCAGCAGATAATGGCCATTCGATATAGCCCACTTCTTCTGCGCCATAAAGCTGATGGGCTGAATCAAGCCATGGTAACAGCATTGATTTTAACAGAGTTAAATTAAGTGATGCATTTGGCTCTGCAGTTCCTCGTTTTGCTCTCCACCTAATAAAGCAGGATGAAGCCTCCTGTCTGGTGCCTCTCCGGCAGCAGGCAGCAGTGGGGACAGTGTGGGAGGGACAGGTAAGGTCGGAGCCTGCAGCCTAAGACAGGAGAGGATCGATGAGAAGAAGCCCAACTAAAGCAGCCTGAGAACAGCAGCATGTTTAAAACAAATCTTTTCAGTGATGGAGTTTGGCAAAGCTCAAAGCAGGATCTCAGGATAGCAGGGCAGGCAGATGTAGCTCGCACATAATGAAAAAACACATCAGGGAGCTCGGGATGAATCGCTGAGAGGCACCATTGCCAAAATCCAGACCATGGACGGTGCTCCACTTCTCTGATCCAGTGCTACATCCCAGCCCAGCAAACACAGTGCTGCGGTCCTTTAGTGAGGAGCAATTGCCATGCTTGAAGTTACTTATTACTAGGACCAAAGCCAGTGTTTGAAATAAATCTTGGTGGTTATAGCAGTTTTGCTAATGTTTTAATGCTTGTGGAAGGAGTAGACTTTATTGCTGTTACTCCTGATTTATGCAAAGCAGGAGAAGGATTAGACTAAAATCTGAAAAGCAAGTGCCAGTGTCCTCTAATCTCTCAAATGGGGTCACAGAAAGCAGTTTAGGGGCAATCAAAGGGCTAAATATGAATCTTTTGGACAATATCCTCCTATGAGTCTTCTGCACTACCGCCTCTCAGCTGCAGGCTGGAAAGGTTTTGTGCTGTTTTACTGCTTCATGTGACAATCTTAGGCCTGGGCAGCTGGTCTATAGACCAAAAAAATGTAAAATTAAGTCAGATGTCATTTACAAGCTGATGACCAGTTGTTGGCAGTGAGTTGGCATCCATTAAATAGCTATAGCTGTGTAAGAGATCTCATGAGGGATGTCCCACTGCTGTGGTGTCATTGTGGCCCTGACTGTGGTGTGCTTTCCAAAAATGGGTTCACTCCAGAGAGATTTTGGGTTTCACCTCCACCAGAGCAGAAATTCGGCAGGCTGTGGGGTGTAGCACCATCTCTTTAGTGTGGCTTTGTTTAAAGGCTGTGGACGGCTCAGCCATATGAGTGCAGCTGTCTTGCAGCAGATGGCTTGGATCTGCAGCTCATGTACACTCATCCAGAGGTTAAAGACAAGATCAACTTTTCCAAGAGAAGGAGTGAAACATGCCCTTTTCCTCCCTAAATTCTTCTGCGTTGTTCTGGTCGTTGTTATCATTAACTGCGGTCAAGTCAAGCTCAGGAGTCTTCACTGTAACAGAGACCATGCTCCTTTATTTCCTGGAGAGTATTTACAAAGTCGCGGGGAGATTTCTGAGAGCGGGCCTTTTCCTCAAAAATGTACCAGGAGATGAAATGATGCCCACACACCATCAGTGGGTGAACTCAGCACTTCTTTAAAAGACAAAAGCCACCAGCAAGGATCAGGCCAGCCTGTGGAAGCACCTCTTCATGTAGACGAAAGTTCACATTATTTTTTTCCCACAGTCTGGGGACAGATTTTGCTTCGCTGTTACAGCGATGATCTGGCCACTTAGCGAAGTTCAGAAAAGTAGTCAGAAGGGTGAATGACTTTTGGAAGATGGTTTGAACTTGTTTGGGTATCTTGGGTCATGGAATTTGGATGTGAAGTGTTTGCTGCTGGTTTCTGTCAGAGCCTGGGAACAACATTTGCAGGGCATTTCCCTCCTTCCCTGCCCTTTGTCCTCCCTCCACAGGTAGCAGCAAAGGCTGGTGTTCATTGTGGGTGATGCTGAGCCCTTTACTCCAGTTTGCTGCCAACTGCTGAGTGGTCAGCATGCACCACAGGGTGAGTCCTGGCCTGGCACTTGCTGGATAATGCTCCTGCTTTACCCTAACCTGCCCTCACCATGGGCTTTTTCAGCAGTCTTATCAGAAAAGCCAGTGAACAAACAGCCTGTCTGAACTGGGTTCTGTCTAAGCCCCAAGGAAAAGCTCTTCTGGATCAAGTTTGGAGCTGAGAGATGCCCCGGGAGAAGCTTGCATCCGGCTGCCGTTGGGCTCTGGTTCTGTGAATAATGGCCATCGTTTCCTTTCCAGGACTGTTGGTCTTTGCACTTAACATGCCATTTTTTACAAGGGCTGTAATGATGAGGAGAGCCAGAAATGCTGAGGAGCAGGCAAGTCATTCCTTGCAAGTGCCAGATGATATACAGTGTATTATTAACAGGGCAATACACTTTTTGCAGAAACCGAGCAAGGTTTCTTATGGAACCCATGAGTCTGATCTCCACCAGGCTAGCTCTTTTTTCATGTTTGTCAGTTCCAGTGAAGAAGAAATATTTCTGCTTCTTTGTCTGTAATAAATTCAGACGAGGCTTGTGCTGGCTGTGAGGCTAAAACTGAGAGATGCTCCTCCCATGACTTTGAAAACAGCCAAAAAGAGGGACACAAACAGATTGCCAGGCAATCAAACAGCCCCAAGGTAACCTGTTCTGGGAGATTTGCTTTGGTCTCTTGCTGGTGCCCATCTTCTTTTTCTCCTCACAGCGTCAGTACTTTCTGCCAGATGGCTATTATTTTTTACAGGACTACAGACAATTATACCTGTCAAGGGCATGCCAGAGCAGTTAGCATTTATGGTGGTAGGCAGATTACCTCCTAAACGTTAATAGCAGACACAGACACGGTAACTTTGCTTCTCAAAATCCCTGCTAGGTGACTGCTTTGCAATGCCGAATGAGGTTCGCAGATGTGCAGCATGGTCACTGTGCAGTGCAGGAAACATGCACGTCCACACCACGCACACGGCTGATGCTCACACACTTTGTCACCACATGTAAGCAAAATGGGGTCTCCATCGTTCAAATATGGCAAAATTTTGCGAGAGTCAAGCCCAGAGATGTTTGCTTTCACATGGTTCTCTGAGCGGGGTCACATCTGCAGGTATCGAGGTGTTGCTGTGTGTTTCTTGGACATTTAGGTTTTGAGGGAGATTGCCATTGCAACTACAGACCAAATTAATATGAGGACCCACTAGGTTTCCAGTTTCTGCAGCTCCTTGCTTGTGTTTTTAAAGGCCAGTGGGTTTGGTTGGCTGTCAGGA